TATCAATGAAGAACAAAATACAATTAACTGTTTACCCAACAATTATATGGCAGGCCGAAACTGCACAAAATGAACATTGCACAACTGTAATCTTTCTCTGAAACCCTCACATACAGCTTATGGAGAGGAATTTCAAGAGTATTGGAACATTTAGCGGATTCATTCAATCACTCCACTTAATCTCCCATATAAGTGAATTTTCTACCCTAGCAGTTCACTCCGCTTCCAATAGGTGCATGTTGGTACGCGCTGACCCAGATCCGATACCAAAACACAATAATTCTGGGAGAAAACGGTCTTCATTTTATATAAAATGGAAATACACACAATTACCCAACAATATTGCACCTAAATCCAATTTACCGCGGTGGGTATCCGTTTCTGGAAGAATAAGTGCATCCAGTCCGTAATGTTAAGGTGTCAAATCCAATAATGGCTGTAGCTATATTAAATATCAAATTTAAACAACATATGTACAGTTCAGAAGCAGACATAAAAACTTCAATATAAGCACAAGATATAGAAATAATAACAATATAAAATGACAAAATCTCAAAATGGGATCAAATAGAGTACCAAAATGTCAACAGAAAGAGTCAGTCATGTCATAACACAAATATACATACATGGAGGGATTTTCCAAAAAACGAAACATTCAAAAAAGATTCTACATCCCATGCAATCAAACCGACAACGAATCCAATGTAATCTAAATAAAGAGGTAGACAACAACGGATTACAGGTCATTAACAATCAGTCAACGTCGAGTTCAGTAGGACAAGCTACGATTCACACGTAAATTCAAATACTTCACTCCTACCTGAAGACTGTGCTGATGATGTTGTTCAAAAAAACAATGAAAACTTTATAATCAAGCCAGCCAGCTAGCAAAACGAAACTACAACACAACCATACGTAGCACTTGATACAAATAGATCCAAAGTAGATATTTTAGTATGGAGAAACAAGAAAAACGGCCCCAAATCTATGTAATGTTTTGACTCCAAACCAACAATTCCTGCTGTTCAACAGCAAGGGAATCCTACAGCGTTAAAATTGTGAGTACACCGCCTCCTGGGATTGGGCTTATTTAATTGGTCATATGCTTGTTCTCCTATATAAACTGATGAACTAGTGAATCTGCTCTTATCCTGATAGTTTAGTTCATACAAAATTAACTAAACTCAATGTTAATTATGTGTGTGGTAGTACGTAATAACAAGTAATATCGTAGATATTCGAACATTATGAGCTGGTGATGGAGTTTCTACTGTTAGACGTAGTAAAGACAGATTCAGTAATCAAGAGTTTGTTTGTTTAGTGGAATGTGATTTTTGTAACATCTCAATCATTGAAAATATTTATGGCCATTTCGTCGACTGTCTTTCAAAAATGTTGGATGTGTAGAATAATAGTAGTATTTTATTCTCAAGTTACAACATGTTTCAAGAGGCATGCCAATTTAAAGGCGAGATCGAAATGTTTAAATTGCTAGCATATTTTTCGTTAACGGTTTTTCAGTTAGATAAATGTTCCACAAGATCCATCAGCTTTCTACAAAGCGGTAATATTTTTCACATAAAATTATTGATAATCTTTCAAACTCTAATGTACAAGAGGATAATTGGCGCAAGTTACGACGATTGCTTTACGACGAACCGCTGCTTGTCGAGAATCAAAGCAAGGTAGATGCAGGTCTGAATATGGCAACAATAGATGAGGCTGATGTGAAATGATACTCTCTTTGAGATTCACCAGATAATAAATTTACAGGCTCCTGGGTAAAGTAACCAAGTCTTCTGCAATTGTCAAGACCAATATCTTAGGCGTAGAATGAGGTTCTGAGAAAGAGAAATGAAGAAAAAAGGGCCAGGAGCAGAACAGAAAATATTTTTTTTAAGGCTCAGTCATAACTATGCAGATCAATTTTTGGATAAAACGAAGTTATGATTTTTCAGACCTTTTTCTGTAATAAAACACTAACTGTACACCTGCGCTTATGTAGGTAAATGAAGACAATTCACTAGTAAGATAACGAATAAGCAAATAATCTTATGAATAAAGGAGTTTAAAAAGAACCAAACTGTTTAAAATCACGTTGATTCAGAGAATATGATAATGAGGGCTCAGTGGTTTGATGCTTCGGTGATATTTTATTAATGGTTTTTTAAAAACTCTAGCTCAGGTAGTCACCAGCATAATTGTCCATATCTGCTTGTAATAGGGTTTCTTATTAGGAAGTGGAACCAGCACAATGTTACAAACATGAGTCGTGGCCGTAGTTGACTTGGAAAAGTAAGACCAACATCACTGGTTATTTAAATCCTGCCATATCGCAAGGAACCGTAAGTAAACAAAAGATTCCGCCTCATATACATGGGTGGATTGAGGCTATCGCCCCACTATCATGATTGCTGATCAGATAAAACACCCGCGTTTTAAGTTCTCTTGGATTTACGGTTCGTTTTCAATGTTTCAGTCAGCTCTTTTTTCGCACACTTTGACTCAACTAGTTCCATAGCTTCTGTACAATGGATTATATGTCGGTGCAGCACATCATACCGATAATAAGTTAACTTATGGTTTAAATTATAAAACAGGTGTCAGTTAATACATGGTTCGGATATGGAAAGGATAGACAGAAGATGAAGGGAAGTAGTGTTTAAAATTCATAAGATGATAAGTAAGTACGTAAGCGAGGTGTTTCAGTGTTAATAAATTGCGAATAATAAAGTTCATCAGACTAGTAATACATGAACTAGAATGAACTCGCAATGATACAGAAAACTTTCAGTTTCCTGTAATAGACAACAGTTAAACAGCATCTATAGGCTTTTTCCCTTTTCTCTCTCTTTTGTCCCGTCTCGGAATCCGATTCGTAATGGAACATACATGCTGCCTAGACGCGATATGCACCTACTGTAGGCGCCCGTCTAGGTCACACCTTATATCAAGCGACTCCCAGTCATCATTTCCCAACACATCCACTCCTAAATTATGCAAATGTCAGTTCTGGGGTTCCAGGGACTTTTGAGAATCCGGTCAGCTGGTAGGGCCAGCCAGTTCACGGTTATTTTAGAACTAAGTGAGAACCTTTTGTACCTGTAGAGGAAGCTTAGATAAACAGAGTCGTCAAGAAAAGCTTTAATTGAAAGTTCTCTGGACCAAAAGCCTCTCTTATTAGTAAAAATATTTCGGGGACTGGGGTCTTTCTTTGTGAGATATTGCAAAAGAGTTTATCTGACTGATATTGATCGGTCAGGTTTGTACATCTAGAGAGGTCTTTTCCAAGGTTTCGCAGGATCCGTAAGTAACGTTGTAGTGGCCTATTTCGACGTCGGGCTCACCATTTGTAGTGTGCCGATTTACTGCGTTTTCTTAAGCTCTGTAATTAGCTCGTCCATAAAACCATTACTAACTAGCGTCTGACAGTTTATAAATCAGAAAGTAAGCTCGTAGTGTTGAATACGTTTATTCGGGACACACCACAAAGCGAAGCGGAGAAGCAGTGAATAAAACAAATGAAGCTATGTGAATTGGAGAAGGCTGTTGAGCCAACTCAAAGAAACAGAGCATGACTAAGAATTTATAGTCAGACAAAAATAAGATAGACATGCGATCAACGAGATAGGCATGCACACACATGAATAAAAGCGACGAACAGTTGACAAAGGTCAAATGACAAGTGGGACACGTCATGTGATCTCATACAAACCAGACAATAATAAGAATGAATGGTACATATAAATTGTTGCAATACAAAGGCTTGGTTAAACAGATTAATCGAAAGGGCTTAACCGAATTAAATGTAAGCGGACTGGAATATATGTGGAGGCACTACAACGTCAGTAGACATACTGGAAGTTAAGTACCAGATGAATGACTAGGTAATACCTACTGTGTACATGAGTTTATTACACCCTGCTCGTGAAATCCTGCTTCTGGGTGGCAGAACCAACCTTGGATGCTGTCAGGAAAGAGTTGCTAAGCCGACGGTGGTGGATTCTTGTGTCGCAGAAGTTTAGATGCAATATCAGACATAATAAGAATGAAGTTCGCACAAAATGACTACTGATTTTACCACTCCAGATTCATAAACGACTTACAAAGCGTGCTACACAGACAACCTAGTATCAGATATCATGGAACAAATACGTGTTCAATAAAGATTCGAGTTGTAAACCACTACAAACACTTCAAGGTCGTTTGGGTTGACCCGACTTTGATTCAGTCACATGTTCAAATTCGACTTCACTTACCGAAGCTTAACACCTTGGCAGTGATGTCGATCTTAATTCACTAGGTGGGACTGTCATCTTGATACTCTGAAGTCTAAGCAGTTAAACAACCACATTCAATTCTTTTCTATTAATAAATCACCCGAATGACTAACCGGGTGTTCCCTAACAAAATAGTTCAGCAATGGACGAAAACCAGATTTTACGAAAACAATTGATCCGTCCGTATAATATAAGAACAAAAAAGCTCGTCCTAGAAGTTTCTTCACTAATAGTTTTTTGTGCGCCAATGCTTTGAAGTGGTGTTGGGAACAATCTGGGTTTGTAAAAAGTAGATTTTTCTTAGCAACATCTAGACTCTCATTCGAACCAAAGTCCTGAATAGATAAAGCTCTCGAGATTGCAGAAAGTGAACGCAAATCCTATAGGAAGTTTATGCTTATTTTTTCCAAGTGTATACTGTAGAACAGATTGCTCACCTATCCAAACAACTGTACTGACAGCTAAAATTTAGTATTTTCAGAAGCCTGTGGTTTCAGGTGACTGGGTTAATCCTCTAGTTCTATATTATATTTCATTAGTTCACCCCTTATCTGATATATATATATATATATATATATATATATATATATATATATATATATATAACGTTCCTAATACATGCCTGTATGTATCTACCGTAGGTTCATCGTCTTTCTCAGTGAATTTATTACAAAAACAACCTTCTTAGAAACTTGCCTTCAATCAAATTGCTGCTTAATAATGTCTGTTGGGATTGTTTACGGTGATCTGTATAGACGATTGTGTTGTAGCTCACCTAAATTTGGCGACCGCTACGCTTTGGTCATGGATTTAATCAATGCTTATAAACTCATCCCGGAATTGTCTCGTGTACCTCCCTTACAGTGGGATTCATCTAATCTCATGTATGAAGCAGTGACTACCTTTCATTCGTGAGTATTTCTATAGGTTATTAAAGTATGGTAGTTTATTATTAAATTAGTTTAATAAGTAAAAAACTCAATTCAGGCATCCAAATACAATTATTTAAACGTTTTGTGATTTACATGCACTTATAAAACATATAGTTGCTAGTTAGTTTCCATGTACATGGTGTATTGTCTTTAATTCGAAGTATCTTGTGCTTTAAGCTGGTTAGCATCTATTCTGACGTGATCGTTAAATTTATCGGTAGCAGCAACCCGATCGAGCTAATATAGTAAACCGCCAAACCGAGATAAAAAACAGGATGGTGAAACTAAAAGTGGCTACTGTTGTAGTGTGAATGACTTAATCAGATGATAGTTCGTCCCGATCATCAAATGCATCATATATAGTTCATAACATAAATCTGTAGAAATACTCTGTGGACCAGTAGGTGCATGTGGAGATTTAATTTCTTGGATTGTTTAAGTTCGGACTTTCATGATTATAATTGCGAGAGTATCCTTTTGCTCAGTTAATAGTGCAGTTTTTTCCCAGGTTAACAAATGTGTTTCTGCTAATATAATCGGTGGAGAGTAAAACATTCCGCAAAATCTAAGCACTATCAATCCGTCACCAATACACATCATGAAGAGAACGAAAGTGTAGTATATTTTCACCTAGTTAAAAGTTTTAGTAATCAGCATATGTCAACATGGAGATGACCCAGTTATCATAATGTTATCCCTTAGGGACCAACAAGATTTCTAAAGTTGGAATCTAACTAGTATGTTCTGAGTAGTAAACCTTATTTTCGTTGGGCGACTCAGTGTTCATAACGTTGATTTTCCATTTTATTTCAGTACGGAATATGTTGACGCTCTTAAGAAATTACAACTGTTGCACACTGAAGGGAAAGAATTAACTGCTGATGACGAGCTACTTATGGATTCGTTTAGTTTGAATTATGACTGCCCTGGATTTCCTAGTGTTTTTGACTACTCATTAGCTGCTGTTCAAGGTAGTTTGGCTGCAGCTAATGCTTTGATCTGTCGTCAGTGTGAGGTAATACTTAAACTATTTATGTTTAGGGTGAGAGTATTTATTAAGTGTTACAATACTTCACTTTTGTTATTTCTTGTCAAGCAAAACGTTTAATTAATAACTTTAATGATTTCTTCTAATTAAAGAAAAAGTTCTTATCTATAAGCCGTAACCACCGCTTTTGAGTAAGAAAATTTTTCTAGCTGTTAGGTTAAAGAGGCTTTTCATTGTTCACTCTTTGTGTAAGATTGACTTTATCATGAATACATTATTATAAAGCTAAAAAATGCTTGTTATATCGTAATGTTATTTCAGAGAAATAATGGTGATTTATGAGAAAATATTCTCACTACCATTTTCTGCGTATCAAAAATGGCATAATGTCAACTATTTAATATGGTTATTTAAGGTGATTTTTGGATTGTTAGTAGAGAAGTCTATCTAATATAATAAAGTTTGCATCTCTGTGTATTTTTAGATTTGTTTGATCCTGCTTTGATTCTTACTACCGAAAAATACATTTTAGCTACTTCTGTATTGCAAAATTCGAACTACATCAAAGATTCGTCACGAAATATTTGGATTTATTTAAACAAATAGTTAAGTATCTAGTAAATTTGAAAACTGCAACTTCTTACGTGCTCTTGATTGAATACTTCATCCTGTGGCACAACTATTCACAGACACTTTTCTATAGTTTCTTCAAAGCCAGATTTCCAAGACAACAATGCCTACGATTTCGTCCTAAAAATTTGAAGCTTTGATCGAGCGCCAAGATGGTTAAATTTTTCTGTCAATATCCAGAAATAGATGACGTAATCCTATGGATATCGTATGAATAGTCTTCGGAATATATATTTAAGATTCTGTGAAGTGACAGCTTAGATGTTAGAACCTTTGACGTGCAAACAGTAACTTTCTCCTTTAAGTTGATTATGATTGGCTGAGGCCGCAGGTTTAAACTCCTCTGTACTTCTTCCTTATAATTGTTAAACATCACTCAAACTCTCACAAAATGTATGGTTTAATGCCAAATAAATAAATTTGTTCGGTAAATGAGTTCTATTTTACTATTACTTGTGTAGCCGTTTCATTATGCTCATTGATCATTACATCAATCCAGTATATACTTTCACCGTACTAGTCTTCCGGAAATTTCTAATTTTAGGTGGTAATCAATTGGGGAGGTGGGTGGCATCATGCCAAAAGAAGTGAAGCTTCTGGATTTTGCTATTTAAACGATGCTGTTTTGGCCATCCATCGATTGATTTCATCAGTTCCATCAGAAATTTCACCCAATAGACAAACACGAGTGTTGTATATTGATCTTGATCTTCATCATGGTGATGGAGTAGAAGAAGCCTTCTGGTATAGTCCTCGTGTAGTTACATTTTCTGTCCATCATGCCTCCCCTGGCTTCTTCCCCGGTTCAGGCAGCTGGAATGTGCTCACTGGTGACAAACTACCAATTTTCTTAAATGGCGCTGGTCGCGGCAGGTTTTCAGCATTTAATTTGCCGTTAGGTAGTTTTGTGTTTCATTCAAAAACTTTTTAATCTACCTACACTTTCATTTCTCAACAGTTATCCAATCATATATATATCGACAAAGAAAAATAGTAACTATGTTTACAAATTTATGACACAAATAATGTATAAGAGTTAATCTCATCAAACTAGTCAAATGAATCAAATAAATAGACTTCTAAAATAATGGTATAGTAGTTAAGTACTATAGTGCAGTTTACTCAACCTTATATATATGTGCTAGGATAGAGATATCCCACGACTTCAATAAATAATGATAATGTTCATTTGTTTGATTACCTTTGGAATGCAGTCTTATTACGCGTGTTTTCAATTAGTTCAGCTTTCCCTTTACATAAACGCTGTCCAATAGATGCATCCATTCTTTGTCTTCTCTCGAATTCGTATCTTATGAGTTCCTCATGACCTTTTTCCTCTTCTTTAAATTTGCTTCACTCTGTTATACTTCTCGAGTCATATCTTTTATTCCTAATCTTTCTGATTACCGTTAATACTTCTATTACCTCTACTTCTACGGGATTTGAATTGGCGATTCTATCTCTGTGTGCTAATGTGGTATGGCAACTTAAACAGTTGTGCGTACATTGTAGCTGACTGACTGAGGACATCGTTTTAGGTAGAGATGACAAATCGATTGGTGGTTAGGACACGTTTTACGTATGCTCAGCCACTGCCTGTCTCGACGAACAATGTTGTCTGGTATCGAAATAATCTGGAAAAAAGCTAGGGGCGGCCAAACCGAAACATGGTACCAGTCTATGAAGCCATTGACAGTTGGCCTGAGCCATGCTTTTAGGCACAGACTACCTGGTTATGGTCGACGAAACAATAGTAACTAATGGTTAGGGACTTCGGATGACATGGCTCAAAATTGTTCTCAACGGCGCATCCATTCTTTGTCTTTTTTCAAATTCTAATCTTCTGAATTCCTGATTACCTTTTTGTTTCTCTTTTAAATCTATTTCACTGCTTTGTACTTTCTTGTATCTTATCTTCCGACCTCAATCTTTTTTATTACCACTAACACTGTCTTTACCACCCCTACTCTGGAATTTGACCTGAAAATTCCATCTCTCTGTGCTGATGTGATATGGCAAGTTGAACTAACGTACGTACGTGCCAAGTTCTACGTAGTAACTGACTGACTGATAGTAAAAATCGTCCACTTATGTAATCGTAGGGTTTTTTTTGCTGAACTACGGTTTAAGTATAACAAACAATTTACTTTGCAGCTTCATTTTAAAATGAACCTAATGAAATGAATAATATTTCTATTCTACTAAGAAAACGTTTGGTAATACTTTGTGCTAAGTTTTATACTCATAGTTCGGGGATTCTCTAATATGTACGTTTTCTCTAGAAAAATTTATTTTTAGTCAATCTCTATTTTCATTGAAACTAACCTCTATTTACGGAGTTCGATATCTTAAAATAGAAATATTCATTAATAATAACGTATATGTGGGAAATGTGAATAGCACGATCAAATTTTATGATCGTGAACCGGTATTCAATGTCACTGAAAGAATATGAATCTTTAGGTCCAAACTATACTGTCGGGTTGCGACTGACATTCTGTGGATCTGAATAACTCAGTGATAACTTTATATACTATAGAGCTGGGTGATCCTGGTTCGAATACGCCATACAAAATCCCATTACTCCCAAGATAACACGTTCACCTCGGTGGTGAGTGCCAAACAGAGTCGACTAACTCCAACCACCAATATCATGACAGTTACTCATCTCGTCAAAACTAAATACCTGGCTAAAAAGCTTATTTTCCCTAAATTTCGTAGAAAACTATGAGTAAGATGAAATTCGGATGTAAGTCATTCACAAATTACATCTTTGTGTCTTCAGGTTTGAGTTACACAATTTGTTGTAGGTTTATGGCTACTGCTACATGGTTTCCCAAAGAGAAACGTTTTAGTTTTAGCTTTATGTCTCGCTTTTAACTTCTAAGCAGCACCATTAGTTATCACAAAAATACCTGTTTTTCAAATTCGGGTAAATGAACTTAGTGATGAAGTTGTAAGCAATAGTGGATTCTGCTATTTCTATAATCTTTCCTTTTTTAGTTTTGTCGCTTAAATAAGAGTAAATTTTAAATGACTGGACTTAAACATTGTATTTTTGAATAATTAGCCCCCAAATGCTCTGGTGCGGCCAAAGGTGAGAAGAGTCCACTCTCCTTCTCGAAACGCTCGCATATGGCCATAGCTATACAGAAACTGTTAGGGAAGTCCTACTCATTACCTTCTCGTGGCGAGTGTTGTTTACGAAATTGAGAGGACGAGAAGCTAGTTTCTGACGCTTTAACCGGGTTAGGAGATATGGAGAATCCACCTAGGAGAGTCACAAAACCCTGATTCTAAGCCCCCAGGATCCTGACGGAACTAATGGCGTGTGAACCTATTAAGGGTCACCGGCTACCATGGAACTCTATCTCCTTACGTTGCTCCACTGCCTTGTGGATTAGGTTCCTGGGTTAAAAACTAGGGTTGTAGCCCCCTAAGAAAACCACCTGCTTTAGTTCGAGTATTAGGACAGTACCCTAACCCACTCACAAATTCATCTATTTGTCTGACGTTAAATTTTTAGGTGCTCCTGTGTACCAATGTTTATGTGCCTAAGTAGTAACTATGATGATTTAATAAATTAATCGAAATTTTCTTCAAAGCTATTTATTTATATACATGTCTGCTTATATATTTTTGTCTACAGAAGAAGGCATCAATGATTTGGATTGGTCAAATGCTGTTGGCCCTATACTTGATTCTCTTAACATGGTTGTTCAACCAAGTTATATTGTAGTTCAGTGTGGAGCTGATTGTTTGGCTACTGATCCACATCGAATATTTCATTTAACTAATTTTAATCCTGATTTAAATACAAATTCGAATGGTGACTCAGAATGTAGTTTAAGTGGCTATTTGTATGCCATTAAGAAAATATTATCATGGAAAGTTCCAACATTAATTCTTGGAGGTGGTGGCTATAATTTTCCAGATACAGCTAGACTATGGACAAGAGTTACAGCGTTAGCAATCGAAGAAGTTAAGGGTAAAAAGTATGTTGTTTTCAAATATTTTCTAGTCCCTATTTTTAAGTTCTTGATTTATTTTATAATGATAATATGTTGTCTCATTCTACAGGATTGACGTGTATTTCGTTAATTTTATTATCGAAGATTTAGTTTTGACTAGTCAATCATCTTGATTCTTCAGCCTACAAAATTTTGTAGATGTGTGATTAATTTAATATGTTCAAACTCAGTTGTCCTTTGAACTTGACGTTTCATGGTCAAAGTGTGTGGTATCATCAATGTGACTTGACAATGAAATAAACTGACATTTGTTATTAAAATGTCTATCTTATACTGTAAAGTTAATTAACTTGAATTGTAACTACTAACTCACAATGCCACTGATATTTATTCGCTTTGATTTGAACGTTTAAAATTGCGTAGGCACTTATAGTTTACTTGTATAAAAAAATGAGTTTCTGGAATGTGATTTATTCAGTTGCTTATTGCAGGTAAATATTTACGGCTTGAATTTCGAATATTTTTACAGTTCTGTCGCTTTCCAAATATTAAGATTATGGTCTTATTTCAATTTATCAACTTTATGTTGATTTGTAGACACACTTCAATTTTTAATCTCATTAAGTTAAACCCAAACCATCGTAAACGGTGTTATTACCAGTTGTAAATGTTTCTTTTTTTTTCTCATATATTTGTTCATCATTACAGGATAACACTTCCTCTTGAAATTCCAGAACATTCCTACTTTTCTCGTTATGGTCCAGATTTCGAACTAGACATTGATTATTTTCCACACAAAAATCATAACCAAACACTTGACAGTATACAGAAACACCATTGTCGTATTCTTGAACAGTTGTGTAATTATGCTGATTTAAATAACATAATTTATGACTATGATAAAGTGAGCAAATTTTATGAATCAACTGATTTGTAAAATAATACAACTGTGTATTTATACTCTATTTATTATTTGTATATTGTTGTAATCATTTCTATTGATCTAATTCTGTAGTTTTATCACTGTAAATAAAAATACCTTTTTTATGCTATTATCAATAGTTGTTGTTTAAATTTTATTCTGAACTAAGATCGATAACAAAAAATTTGAAGTTATTTTCTCAAGCGTTACTTACTTTTAATAAAACATTATAATGAAGAAAATGAATATTAGTTCTTGCGAAATGAAACTATTAACAATGTTGGACAAATTGTCCAATGAATTCTTTTATTGTTTTCTGTTTTGTGATTAAAATGTTTTGAAATGAATTAGTCAGAATGTTTACTCTTACAGTGGTAATAACAAAATTATAAACAAAGTCAATTTACAAATAATTATTAATTGATATGAACACTTAGAAATTAACTAATCTATACTGTGGTGTTCGTATCAGTCAGATCAAGAAAACTAAACCATATTTATTAGTGACTTAATCAGACTGATTACATTCCAACTTTGACATGCAAATACTTAGTTTTGTTCTTAACCTCTTCAGTTTTTGGCATTCAAATTTTATATTATTTGTCTTCATCCAATTAGGTTTGATTTGTAGTTTGATAATCTAATGTGGGATACAATTAGGCAAGTTGAACACTAATTCATTGACAATTAAGAAAAGTGCAATTTGTTTAACCATCGATTAGTTGTATTAGATATTATAATTATGAAAGTGGTTTATCATGACAAATTGATTGAACAACTGTTAACAGCTAAGATGAGCTGATTAGTTGATGAACTACATTGTGTGAATCTTAAATAGTATACAAGTAGATTCATTAACAATAGTCAGAAATATTTCTTCGTCTCATTAGTTTCTCATCGATTAACTTTAACTATTCAAGTATCCAATCGTATAAATATGTGGAACTTTGCTATATAGGTAATAATAACCTTCAAATTGTACAAAATAACAGTGACAGAGCATATATATGATTTTTTGACTACCGTGAAGTGAATATCTCTGTTTTGCTACGTAAAACTAGGATTTTAAGTCAATATATTCGTAGGTTAAGACGGTTTTCTTTATTTTGACCACTAGAAAACTGCCTAATGTTACTTTTAGTATAGATAATCTAATGACACTAGGCTCCTTGATCTAAATTGAATGAGGAAGTAATTGAAAACACTGCTTAATAGTTAAAAGTCAAGTACTCTAATCATTTATCAAAATTACTCCGAAAATATTCATCATCATGGGCTTTTCAAAGTCTGAAGTAGAAGCTCTGCTGTTATACAATATCGATAAACACAATAATCAGCATACTGATTGTTTCTATTACTGGGATCACTGGAAACGATCATTATTAACCAAGTATTCTTAAATTATCAATCCAACTGTCCCTACCAATCTCTTTACAGTAACAGCATGTGAAAATTAAAAGAAAAATGTTTACTGATACAGAGTAACTACGTGTCACTGATATTTTCTCAATAATTTTATTTTAACTGAAAATTATTTGTTAATAAAAAGTGCTACTTATGGAATTTGAACTAACTGCATCAAATTAATTATTATATACTGCATACTTGAACTAAATCACAAAAATTAATTCTTCATTAAAGTATAACTGATATCGATAAGACAAAGTTTGCAAGTAAATATACACTTACTTAATAATGTGGAAATCTGAACATGTTAACTAATATAACAACCTTGAAAATAAACTTGTTAACCAGAACTAAGCTAAAGCTCATAGTTCTATTACAAATTAGTTTCCATAAACTAAAATTATTTAGGAAACGATTCGATAAATCAGAAGTATCACTGATCTTATTGAATGATCATTACAAATAACATAATTGAATTATTAAATGTGGTTGTTCAAACCTCTACTTTTTAAGTATTATGTTCACCTTGTTGTCAATGATCTCTGCTTGATGAAGACCCACCTCAGAGTAGATGACTTCCATGAACCTAGCATCTGAATGGTATTCATACTAATTGAATATATTCATAACTTTGAACGATCCATCAGTCAGATGCAACGTAGAACTTCGTACGTAAGTACATCAGTTCATGTTGCCATACCACATCAGAACAGAAATGTAATTGTCAATTCAAATCCAATAGTAGAAGAGGTAGTAAAAAAGGTATTAGGAGTAATCGGAGAGGTTAGGATGAGAAGATATTATTCAAGAAGTATGATTTAATGAGAAAAGTTTAGAAAGTCAAAACTAGAGTTGTTGAAGAACCCAGAAGATTAGGATTTGAGAGAACACAAAGCATAAATGCACCGGCGCCATTGCGAACGATTTTGAGCCATGTCATTCAAGGTCTCTAACCATCGATTATTATCATCTCGCGGACCCCAACCAGGTAGTCGACAATTACCGACATGACTCGTCAATGACTTTGTGGATTTCTGCCATGTTTTGGTTTGGCCGCCCCTAACTTTCTTCCAACCTACTCCTACACCACAAAACAAAGCTCGACGAGGCAGTCGGTAGTTGGGCATACGTAACACATGTCCCAACCACCTCAACTGATGAAGTGTCACTACTGCGTCTATTGATCTGCCATTCTTACCTAGCACCCGATTCCTAATAACAGCGTTGCTCACTCGGGTGTCCCACGATATACGAGCAATGCTTCGAAGACACCTATGATCGAAAACCAATAACCTAGGAATATCTTCTACTCTCATTGGCCATGTTTCACAGCCATAAAGTAAGACGGAGCGAACTACTGCGCAGTACACTCGTCCTTTAGTCATCAAACGTATATCTCGCCTACGCCATAGTTGACGCATGTTGGCAAAAGCCAATCGAGCCTTCTGTATCCGAGCTGAGATTTCGTCAGTCACCAGGCCATCGGCACTGATCAGACTCCCAAGATAAGTGAAGCGGTCTACACGTTCGACTACTTCACTCCCTATCACTAGTTCAGGTGCCGATGCAACCCAGTCTTGAAGCAACACTTTGCATTTCGAGGGGGAAAACCTCATCCCAAACATGCTTGCATTGTTGCTTAGGGTAGTCAGAAGACTCTGCATTTTGTCAGCGTCTTAACCAAGTAGGACAATGTCATCGGCATATTCTAAGTCAATAAGCGAGCCACCTGGTAAAAGGTCTACTCCTGAAAATTCAGATGAGGATAAGGTTATTTCTAGGAGCATGTCTATGATAAAATTAAACAAGAATGGAGAAAGTGGACATCCCTGACGGACACCACTTGAAGTAAAGAATTCCGTTGACAGTTCACCATAAGCTCTCACTTGACCAGTGGTGTTCGAGTAGAGAGCTTGTATGAGGTTAATGTACTTCTTTGGTACACCTTTCAATGACAGACACTGCCACAGAACCTCACGATCCACAGAGTCAAATGCCGCTTTTAGGTCCAGGAAAACAACTATTGTAGGACGCCTAAATGTGTGTCTGTGTTCCAGTACCTGTCGTAGTGTGAAGATGTGGTCTATACAACCACGTCCAGGTCGAAAACCAGCCTGGTTTTCTCGAGTCTGCTCTTCACGAGCTTTCGTCAAGCGTCGAAGTATTCTTGAGGCCAATATTTTAGATACTATTTTAGTTAGACTTATTCCCGTGTGATTGTCACAACAAGACTTTTGTCCTTTCTTATAGGTTGAGACAATCAGTGATTGAGACCAGTCGGATGGGATTACGTCCATTTCCCAGATTCTACCTAGGATCTCGGTCAGTTTAACCGTTAAAACTGGACCACCATCCTTAAATATCTCAGGGGCCAGTCTATCAGGACCTTCAGCTCGTCCTCGCGATCCGTATATAAGTATATCCGCTGATTCAGTGATCGAAATCCAGTTTCCGTATTGATATTTGATTAACTATGCGCCTCCGAAGATAATATAACACTTCTGAAAACATTCATTAATAATAATACCACACAAGAGCATTTGTGATGACATGATCATCTATGATAATAACTATAGAACTAGAAAATGTTGAGTAATTTAAATAAATGTATGGTCTAAAATTAGTCAATTGCCCTCCGAAAACTATTTCATTACTTTATTTACACTTCGGTATTTGACTATAATTTAAGCCAAAAATAATAATACGTAAACTTCAGGAAATTTTACTCTACGTAGCTGTTCTATATGAACTGGGGTTCATTTTTGTTCCCTATATATATTACGGAAATAATTTAAATTCTAAGACAAAATATTTCATTTTCTATATAAAAACTTGCTTGGGTGCTTTTAATTTATTAGAAATATTTGAACGAGATTACTACGATAGTTACTATTTTGAATAGCCTCTCTTATCCACTCGAACCTACTACGGTTTAGAAATATTTGACTAGCGACTTTAACTACTATATAAAGTTCAAGTAGTATAACTACGCGTGATAGAAAATTTAACTTCAGTTTTGAGATTTTAACCTCGTCCCATAGATTAGCAAGTTGTCTGTGCAATTACCTCTTAATTGTATTTTGATAATTAGTTATAATAGGAAGTGCAGGACGACATTTTGTAATTTACATGTGGTACTCAAGGTCTGATCTGAATTATCTGCATTTGTTTAGCAGTGACTACTATCAGTATATTAAATCCAGTTAATAAAATATTCTGATCAAAATTATTTATTATCATTTGTCCACCACGATGATCGGTTAATCCATTTGAACTGATATGATGTACATGTACAAATATACATGTTCTCATCACTCAAGATTCATCAACATAATATACAGTTAATTCAGTAGGATTTCAACCTGTTAAATCATAGACGACACATGGATATATTTAAGATTTATAATATCAAATGTCTCCATTGAGTCTTTAAAAAAATAGGTGAAAGAAGAACTGTTTCATTTCAATTTGTTTTTAGTTAAAGTTCTTTTATATGTTTTTAAGTTAAGCTAATACTTAATGGTAGTAGATCAATTTAGTATTGTATTTCAATACCATCTTTTAAAATATTAGTAACTATAAAAAATTAGTGAAACGGGTTCTAAGAC